ATTTCGCGATCGCGATCATTACCGCGGCCAAGATACCCCTCGCCACCATCCCTCGGCGCATATTTATTAATAAGGTTTCCCTATTGTCGGCCGAAGGACCATTCATTTAGCGCGGTGAGTTCGCGAGCACTCACGTTCCCCGGCTGTAATTAATAGTCGATCCCACGCGATAAAACGCAAAATTAATTACGTCGTACCGTGAAGAATAGCGCGCAGCTACCCCGTCGAGGTTTACACCGATCGCGTCTGCGCAATCTCCGCGATCGGCCAATATCGCCCGATATCCCAACGACTCCTCTCCGCCACGATCTTTATCTTTTTTTCTTCGTTAAACGATTGCTTCGCGAAACTTCAAAACTTCCCTCTCCCCAAATGATTCTGGTTCATCGATGAATCCATGAATCTCGAAGGGAGAGATTTCGCTGCGAGGCGATCGATGGATTTCCCTTTTCCATTTTTCCGAGCCGATTCTCTCCAGGCTAATCGGAAACGGAGGGAGAACGAAGGTATACGGAGAAGGAACGTATACGAAGGCGTTTCGAACTCGACTCCGGTGTCGAGGCAGAATCGACGCGGCACCCCGCGATACACTTTTCTCGGTAGGCAATATTCATAAATCACCGCACAGCCCACCCCGACCATTCTCCTACCCCCTCTTATATATACGCTTAGAATAAGCACCCCTTTTCCTGATAGAGGGATGCAGCGTCGAGGTCAACTCCCTTCTCCTTCCATCCTTCTCCGGCCGAAGAAAGGCCGGGCAGAGCGTAGGAGGGACGCGATGCTCTCTGGCGGAAAAAGGAAATTCCACGGAGATGGAGAAGGGAGAGAGAAGAAGAAGAGGAAGAAGAAGAAGAAGCGAAAAGAAAGGAAAAAAGGAAAGGAAGAGAGTGAAGTTAGAAAACGAAGGTTACGAGGGTGGGGGAGTTGTAGTCGAAGACGGAGTTACTTGGTACGAGAGGGGTTGGTCTCAGATTCTATTAAGATCTCAGTAAGTCTTGTTACACGGAGAGGCCACGCCGCAAATCTCGCAATAAAACAGCCAGCCGGTATATAACGCCGTCTCGAGCGAGTCTCGAGGCTTGGATTCGTTGCTTCGTTTACCGATGCACAGTGGCGTCGCCGAGTTACGTTGCCAAACGGCCGCACCAGGGGGTCCATTCCCCGCGTGGATTCCGCGCGTACACGACCATCGGAAACGGAAGCCTCGGTTAATCCCGGGAGAAAGCTGTGGCTAACGGCCATCCCGGCCCCTCCCTCCGAAAGTACTTTAAATCGCTCGCTCTTTGACTCGAGCAAATCGTTGGGGCAGTTTTGATGGATTTTTTTGCCCAAATGTAACACGAGACCGCGCACGTTACAACGTCTTTTGGTAAAAAGAAAAAAAAAAAAAAAGAAACGTATGAAATTAAAAGGGGAAGAATTTTACGGGGGGAAAGAAAAGAATAATCCGATCGAATCTCTTTATCTGATAAAGGATCTTACTTACCCGTTGCCAAGAATAATCCTGTACAAATAACTGTATAAACGGGACAATAGAAGCTTAAAAGGTAAATATGAAGATCGATGACGCGAGCGCGGNGAGCAGCGACAAGGGGCGGCAAGAATCGTGCGCTCGAGAGGATGGGAGGGGAGGAGGGGTCGGCCTCGGGGCAAGGGTCCGAAATCAATCAAAACATTAATTGAAAGAGCCGAGAAGACAACGGCGCCCGTTCGGCTAAGGCGGTAGCTA